GTAGGTGATCCAAGTTAAGGACTTCTTGCAGACCATGTCTAAATTAAATCAGTGATACAATTGTGGCATTCTCCTAGAGATAGGTACCTAGATGAAAGTCGGAGGATTCACAAACTGATGATTTATCAACTTAATGTGACGTAGGGATTCAAAGAAAAGAAGATTGGTAAAGAACAAGTCCAAAAATAACCAAGAGACTTACCCAAATTAATTCGAGCATAGCTTCTGAAGAACCAAACACCAATGAGATTTACCATTAAATTCGTGATAGCTGAGATGATCAGGTAATGCCTAAAATTGGGTACAAAATAAGATCAATTAATCAATGATCAGATTAGATCTTTTTACAAACGTAAGAACAAAGTGTAGATAATTAAAATATGATACAGCAGAACTCCTGCTCCAGATTCCTGCCTAATTAACATAGGTAGGCAGATGATCATTCTAATTTCTTTGTTTTGTAACAAACACGAAAAAACACTAGGTAAAACCTGGTCATACTGTTAAAACAGAAGAAAATTTGAAAATTATCCCAAATTTATCCAACTAACCACTATTTTGAAGTCCTAGAATTTTCTGCATGTTTGAAACCCAATAAATTCGAACCCTGGAAACTGATCAAAGAAAAAAACAGAAAAAGGTCATCTTCTGTATTACTGAGTGTCCCAGGCAACGAAACATAGATTGTTGGTCCGAAGATGGTTTTTTCTTTCTTTTCATTTTGCAGCGAAGGAAAGAGTTGTTTTCTTTTTCTCTTTTTGCAAGAAGAATATGGGCTTTTGGCAGGAACATGAGAGAGGGGGAGAGAAACGAGCTGCGGATCTGGGATAAGGCTTTCTTTAGTTGAATTATTTTCATCAACCATCAAACTCATAAGACCTTATTGTTTAATGCCTACATATGCACGGCTGTTGTTGCATAGTTCCATGGATTTTCCTTCCTTCTCTTTTGCCGCATTTTGCTCAAAGGGTTGAAGGGCTATAGTGCGTCAAGGTGTTGGAAAGGGCCAACTTGATCCTCTTCCCTAGGGATCTCAGATGATTCTCATTGAATGAAGATGGTTTTTTCTTTCTTTTCATTTTGCAGCGAAGGAAAGAGTTGTTTTCTTTTTCTCTTTTTGCAAGAAGAATATGGGCTTTTGGCAGGAACATGAGAGAGGGGGAGAGAAACGAGCTGCGGATCTGGGATAAGGCTTTCTTTAGTTGAATTATTTTCATCAACCATCAAACTCATAAGACCTTATTGTTTAATGCCTACATATGCACGGCTGTTGTTGCATAGTTCCATGGATTTTCCTTCCTTCTCTTTTGCCGCATTTTGCTCAAAGGGTTGAAGGGCTATAGTGCGTCAAGGTGTTGGAAAGGGCCAACTTGATCCTCTTCCCTAGGGATCTCAGATGATTCTCATTGAATGATAAGTTGCATAAGACACCACATGGGCATTTGATTTGAGAATGTCCCATGCAGCAAAAATTGGTAAAAGAACCGCATACCATGAGAATACCAACTTACTTGTGATCAGACTCATCTTGTATGAATGCATGAAGAGCTTCCACAGCTATGGAGAATGACATGAACAAAAGAAACAACTGTCTACACAAGTAGCACACGCAAAATATTGCTGTGTTAGCCGAAGATGCATTTGAGAGAAAGAAAGGATTGGAAGCAAGACAAAGGGAGAGTATAAAATTCAGAACATCATATATCTTATGTATAACATAAATATAAAACCATTGAGAAGGAGAAAATAGATTCTGAACTTTTTCTGACAAGAAATTTCGTTATTGCTTTTATGAGGGCCCCTCCCATCACCAGGGGGAAATAAAAGGATTTAGTAATCAATAATTGGGCATAAATGTCAAATACTTACAGCATTGGTAAATGCAGACAAAACCTCCAGCCTTTTGTACCTGGTGGAGAATACAGAAATTGAGCATGAGTTATCACCAAATTATTCAGCTTTAAATAATTATTAATTCAATTTTTACACTCACAATTGAAGGAAAGCAGCTGAACATCGCCTAAATATATAGTTACAAGGAAAATGAAGTATTAACCATGACAAGTAAGTATGCTAATCAAGCATTTTATTATGAAAAGACACTACTAACTACAACAATCACCCCAATCGATTCATGGAGAAAGGCAGTGACTAGATGTTACAAGACCAATATTAATTTATTGGGAAGCTTAAACTATAAAAACGAATTCTATTGTCTAGTAAGGTATACATATTTTTCTAAAGAATCTCACCCATATGTGTATATAGAATCAGGCTTTTGTCGAGAAGCAGCCATTGCAAATAACGAAAAAGTCAAGAGCCCACAGCCAAATGTCAAATGAAACGCATCAGACACCAGACCTGAAACCAAAGATCATTCGCTTGTAGAAGACAAAAAGGAAAGCAAACAATAAAATGAAAGAATAAATCAAGACAAATATGATCCCTATAAACTCATGGTGAAATTGCTTGATTTGACAGACTAAATAGTAACACGGGTTTAAGCGTTTTGGAGAGAAACATACCCAAACTCTAACCATTTAATTTTTTTTTTTCACTGAACCAGGATGGATAAGTTGTAGATTCGATAACGTATACCCTTAATCAATTCATGAAATCGTTTTATGCCTACTAATATTAAAATCAAATAACCACTAAATAAACGTATTTATGTAAATTTACATACCCACTCGGCCAGTGAAGAGGCCAATGCACAACTCAACCGTAGAATACGCCACATTGAGTGAAATCAAGACAAAAAGTCGTCTCATTTGCTTGTTTCCCGACCTCAACCCTCCAAAAATTAACGAAATGAAGGAGAACTTTTCATCCAAATCCTTCGACAACAATTTATCCTCAGCAGAGTTGTGCAAAAAATAACCATTTGACAGATTTATCGATATTGGAGTATGAGGCTCAGCAGTGGGAATCGACTGACGGAATGAAGCTTGTCGGGAGTATGCAAATCGCCGATCAGCACTCTTTCCGAAATCATAATCACCTGCGAATGATCGCGGGGAATCGGATTCCAGCTTGTGATAATTAAAAGACGCATTTTGCTTCTTTTTGTAAGGAAGTCTTGATTGATCCTCCATTGAACTGATACCGAAATAGAAATTCAGGTCCTTCTAATTATAATTTCACGAACGAGTGACGAATTCTTGAAATTCCAAATAAATCCTGACTGCGTGTGTGCGTGTAGATAGGGTTCAACAAAAAGACACAGAAATAATTATAACGTTTTTGTTGAAGTGTTCGTGTGATGTAGATGAAATTTGAGAGATATTTCTAAACCCTAATTGCTCTCCATCAATGTATAGGCCAATACAGATCTTGACTTTCCTAAAGTATTGTATTGAATGAATTTTGTTAAAAGTGGAGATGCGGGGATTCGAACCCAGTGCCTCTTGCATGGAGTTATGCATCAAATCGAAACAAAAATATAAACTGAGTATCAAAATGAAACAAATTAAAATTAAATGATCAACATACAATAAACTCGTAAGTCAAGTGACAACCAATAAAATTTCCCCACCTCTATCTTTCCTCAGTGAACTGAAACTCGAATATTTTTTTTTTTTTCCAAAATTTCCTTAGTATGATTCATAAAGAAAAAGCATTTCCCCCCTTTAATTTTACACTTTCACAAGATTGGATATAAGCTGTATTTGGTTTTTCTATGAAATTTTTTGACTTAATTTTTATTTGTTTTTCATTTTGGTTTTGAAACGAGAGAAAGAAATGATAGAATACTTTTTTCTACTCTGATTTATGTTATTTTCTTTGGTTGAATATAATAAAATTTCCAGAAGATGACTTGTTAAAATAGATTGACATTTGCAAAACAGTAAGAACGAAATGCATAAGCAAGACCAGAATTCGGAATAAAGATGATTGAAGCGAGAACTACTCTCTGTCCTTAAGACCTTATTTTACCCCGTGACACAGTGCTTACGGTATGTGGTAAAGCGTCTCCCAAGATATAACGATTAGACATTTGTAGAAGCAGCACTTTGACTACAAGACAACGAACCAGACCTGAAAGTACTCTATGTAAATTAATGCAGAAAGGAACAACGAGAAGAAAAGTATGTTTGCAAAATGAATTCCTGATTTTTCTGTGTATTTAAATGAAAGTCTAATGACCATTTAAATAGATGAGAGAGTTGACGATTGAGCAGATTCCATNGACATTGTCTAAGACTCCCCCATTTCAAAGACTATTGATACCCCTTGGGGCCCAAACCCATTTCCAAACTTGAAGTTTATTAAGTGGTTCAAGGTTGTGTTTACAATCTATGTGGGATTGGAACAGTTTTCCATTTCTTTCCAATTTATTCCTCTTATTTATTGTTCAACTTTCAACCATAATTTTTCATTCCTATTGAAATGGTTTTTCACAATTAAATATTTTACATTCATCTACTCGGAACGTAGAATTTAATTGAACACTAATTTCGATAAATCGAACATCGGGTCTCACTTAAAATTGTGGTCAAAGTTGATCCAATTGACCCACCATTTCCAACAATTTATCCACTCCCGTCATTACTTTTCTTTCTCTAATCTGAGACCTCGTAGAGGTGCTTTTCCTAAGAAGTTGCTCATTTTACTTGCAAACACCCACTCTGAAGTATTCGATTTCTAGGTATGGTAATAGCCTGCAGAGACTCGATCAAATCAAGAAAGTAGTTTATTATTCTTCGGTGGCAGCAGGAGAAATACATCTAACAGCAAGAAACATAGTGTTAAACGCGTTAGAGGTCCTCTCTGACCATTTCCTAGTGATTATCCCCTCTATATTCAAAGCCATCCTGCAGATTTTAAAGCTTTTTGTATCGTTAGAAAGATTAAAGTTTCTTTTGCTAGGACGGCAATTCATAGTTAGATGCAAGAATATAGTGTGCAGAGCCTTTATAAATTAGTGGCTCAGCAGCAGCAAGATTCATCACTACTTCATATCTCTTTCTAGTAAAAGACAGCCCAGTATTCTTTTCTTACATTTCTTTTCGTTTGATTAATTCGTCCAAAATGGCTAGACAAGTTGCTTTGTTTGTTATTGTAGCTCTCGGTTTCTGCTGTCTTGCCTTTGCATTTGAGCCTATACAGTTGCAAGATTTCTGTGTTGCTGATCCTACTAGCTCAGGTATATGTGTATATTGCAAGCATTCGTGCTTTTCGAGCTTTGTTTACTAAGGTCCTGTTTGATAATGAAACTTTTCCATGGAACTTGGAATTTAAATTCCATTTCCCACCAATTGGTTTGTTTGATAGTCATAATTTTCTTCGCAATTACTTTTCCACTTTATCCCCCACACGTGTACCTTTTCTACATTTTTGATGAATTTGGTTTCCCATCATTTTGGTGGGAAATAGAATTTCATTTTATTTTTTTTTTGGCAATTGGAACAGATTTTATAACCAATTGTAAAAAAAGATAAAATCATTTTAATGGATAATTCCATGTAAAACAAAGTCAAACGAATACTAAACTTTGATTAAAAAATGATTTTCTTGGAAATATTTTTTTTTTATTTTTACTTTTTGGCAATTGAAACAAATTTTACAACCAATTGTGGAAAAAATTATCACTTTAATGGTCAATTTCTATATAAAATAAAGCCAAACGAACACAAAAAGATCCAAAATTTTAAAATTTTCCAAGTGGAATATTTTACCAATCAAACACACTTAATTAACAATTCCATGGGAAACAAGTTTTAGGCAATTATTTCTCTGAAATTCATTTTCTTTTCACCAATTTTCTACCCTTGCAATCAAATGGACCCTAAATATATGTTTCGCAGTGACAGCAAAGTGAAAAGAGGAAAAAATGGTTCATGCAATATGTGAATGAGTTAGTCTCAGAGATCAATGGCATTTCTATATAGCTAAACATATTGTGCAGTTATTCCCTGGATTGAGCATTGACCTAATATTGAGAAGCAATATTTTTCTTATTGTTAAAAAGGTAGTGCATGTATCAGGTTGCTCTAACATTCCTACTATGCAAAGGAGGCCAATTTGTTGAGTTACAGATGCCTAGAAAACTTGTAATCTTCTTCTTTATTACAATGAGAACCTATAGCGCTATGTCGAGAACGAATTAACATGTTGTGCATTTATTCAGCAAGAGTGAATAGCCTAGTCTGCAAGATCCCTATGCTTGTTCACGCCAATGATTTCTCCTTCAGCAAACTACATTTACCAGGTAACACCCTGTTGGCTCTAGGGTTACTCCAGTTACTATAACACAATTTCCAGGACTTAAAACACTCTTCGCATGTCTAGGGTTCGTGTTGATTATGTGCCACGGGGAATTAATCCTCCTCATACTCACCCCCGAGCCACAGAAGTTTTAACAACCTAGAAGGTTCTCTGCAAGTGAGCTTCGTCACTTCAAACCCAGAAAATCACCACATTACTAAGGTTCTCCAAAAAAGCGATGTGTTCGTGTTCCCTATCGGGCTCATTCACTACCAACATAACGTTGGGTATGGACACGCGGCCGCCATTGCTGCATTGAGCGGTCAAAATCCAGGCGTGATTACCATTGCAATTACAGTAATTGGTTCGAAGCCAAATATTGGTAGTGATATCCGTGTCAAGGCATTTCAAGTGGATAAGAGTATTGTGGATCACCTCCAAACAAAATTTTAGGCGCAACAAAACAGTTTTTAATGTAAGATGAAATAGAGATATGGTGAATAAACTTGGTCTGTTTTGGTTGTATTTTATAATCTATGCATTTCAATTTTTTGATCAGCATTCTAATCCCAATTGGGAATTGTCTTGGATTTTTTATTTGTTCGTATTTAATGTGTAAGAAGTTGATTCCTTGGATTCAGATTTTAGATACCTTAGCCATTGGATAAAATATGTTGCAAGAGGAGCCTTTTGTTACTGGTTTCTTCAAGTGTCATTTACAGTTAGAATCTTTAACAGTAGGAGCCTATTCATTTGAGTAGTTAGGTAGTTAATAACTGATTTGATGCCCCCTTTTGTGTCTATAAATAGCAGCATTAGGCAGTGAAGAAGAGAGAGCCCGAGAGAGAAAGAAAGAAAGGGCTTGAATTATGTAGACAAAGTAGATAGAAAGTGAGATAGAGTGAAACTCTTGGAAAAATTTGTAGCAAATTTTTTCTGTTGATCTGTTACTGTATATAGATCATGTAAAGTCTTTTATTGATAATAAAGGCTGTGAAAGTCATTCTTCCTATTCCATATATGTTCTTTGATTTCTACTTGCTGATTTATATGCGTTTTTCTTGCTGATTTTCACATCTGTTTCTGTTGATTTTTTTATATTTGTTTCTTCTTCATTTCCAATTCTGCTGGTGCAATATGTGCTTCCAATAAACTCTGTATTAATTTCAGAGTTAAGGGAAATCATAACACCCCAACATAATGTGTAATTTTGATTGGGTGAAAACTAGTTTGATTCTTTCATGTATCACATCGAACCCTCCAATTTGAAGCTGTTGGGACCCACCAAGTCTCTGTGATATAGAAAAGTAGCAAGTTAATCAAGTTGAAGTCCAAACACCAACCTATAGTCGCGAGGAGGTCGACATGGCTTAGTCCAACTTCAGGAAAGGTCCATAGACGTACCATCAAACCAAGCGAGGTCTAACTAGCACCAAAATGCCAAGTTCGACAAAAAAAAAAAGAAAATTTTCAAATTGAGCCAAGTGCTTGAGTTCGATCAAAGTTCTTGTTCAATTTGCAAACTTGACTCTAATACAATTTTGAAGTGTTGGATGCAATACTTAGATACTAGGTAACATAGTCGGACTAATCGTGCTATATCAAGATTAAAGGCGTTAAACTATGTTAAGACATCTGTCACAACCCATGTTCTAAAAAAAGGTGAAAACGCGCCGCCTAGGCGCGACGCGCGTCCAAACTGCGTCGAATTCGGGAAATGCAGGAAAAACGCGTTTTCTATCTAAAAGGAATTAAAAAATCTATTTTTTTTATATAAAAATATATTTAATGCCTTAAAAATACGAAACGCATTATGACGCTTATTCTTCGCATTGACACGCCTAAACTTGTGATTCTTGATTCTCGGCATCGACGCTTCGCAACGCATTACGCATTTTAGAACACTGGTCACAACAAAAGCCCGAACACAACCAAGTATTGAGCCCAACTGATGTTGAGCCTAGGATTGGCATAGGTCAGTTAACACCTCGATTCAAGGCCAAGAGCTAGCAATATAACCTGCTTATTGCAATATTGTCAACAAAGAACATGGATGGAGCTGTAACTTATATAATTTTTGAAAGTTAATAGTTTGATCATAAAATCACTGAAAAGGTGAATAACGCGAAATTAGAATTATTAACTAAAAGTAATAAGTCACTTTTTAACTGTTCTAGATGTTTAGTCAATCAAGTCAGTTATCCTATGTTGAATTGCCACAATAATAATTAAAGCAGTAAATAACACAAGATTTATTGATGGAGAGAACCCTTAACTGGGTAAAAATTCAGGGACCAAGCCAGTAGTTTTCACTATGGACAATAAGATTTTACTGTATGATCCAACCTAGAGAACTCACTAGACTCTCTAATTTAATTCATGCAATCTCCAAGACCCGCTGGAACGTGCTTCACTCACACTTGCTCCCGATTTTCTGGAATTGTCCATCTCTTGTGGATCACCAAGAACACTTTGTTCTTGTACTCTTTTTAGGGTTTCACGTATAACATCGTTGCTCAAGCGCTAGGCTAGTGATAGGCAAGCGAGAAGTGTGTCGCTCGAGCTATAGGCGGGCAATAGACGAGCGACAATTATTCTACTTTTTTTGCTCGAGCATCAGTTAAGCAATGGTCTAACATAAATTTGACGACTCTTTCTCCTTGTTTCATATTCGAATCTAAAAACTCTCAATTCATTTATACAACTCATTAAAAGACTCATTGACTTTTACAATTATTTTATAACAATTCTATTCTCCTATAATAATCATTTTATCTAAAAAAATGTTAATACAACGTAAATCATTACAACTTTCATTAGATCATTACCAACGGCTATATTCCACTTCCTAATATTATTCAAATCAAATATAACCCACCGCTTAACGGTCCATTTTTCAGACAATAAGCCCACCTAGGACAACTCTAATTTCCCTCTGCATTAAAATCCCCAATTGCAAAATTCATCCCCTCTCTCTCTCTCTGTCTCTCTCTACGAAGTACTGAAAGTTGCTGAACTTATTCCATTGTTCTTTCTCACTCTACAATGGAAAATACTAATCCTAACACAGCTAAAGTTCAGCACGTGACGAAAGCATCATCAGATGAACTCCTGAAGAAGTTTGCTGAAATGGGTTCTGAATCAAATGACAAATCCTTAGCTAAGAAAGAGTTTCGATTGTCCAAACGCCTAAAAAGGAGTCAAGCAGCTACTAATGGAAGTGGTAATGGCCAAGGTGAGAGAAAGTCACTTCTACCTCCGGCAACTTCCCGGAGACCAGCGGCGTTGAGCAGAAGGTTTGGGACAGGGAAGGCCAAGATCAGAGCTAGGGAGTTCAAGGACCGGTCTATTATAGGCACAATTGAGAAGGTGAGGTTTATTTAGAATTTGATTTATATTTGGAGCATTTAGTATTCAATTTGATGTGATATTTATTGTTTAAAATTAGTGTTCCTTGGTTTTCATGCTTGCTTCCGACAGAACTCGATATCTTCTATACAGAGTGTAAGGAAAAGTGATGCTTGAAGAAGAATTAGGACAACCTTAGCATTCACAAAGCTGTTAGAATAAAATCAGTTTTCTGTTTACAGTTTCAACTGATGCTAGTTGGTTAGAATCTTCGACAACTTGGAGCCTTGTTTGTTGGTAGTTAACAACCGGAAAAGTGTTAGGAAGAGGTTATCTTCCTGGTTAAATCATTTTTGGTGTTTAAATCTTGCTGGTAATCATTTTCTGTAAGTCTGTTGCTGTTCAGAATCATTTTTAAGCCTCAGTGCAAATACAGTGAGTGGCAAGGATATCAGGTATGAAGAGGTGATATCCGGTATGCATCATGCATATACGGTAAGTTCAACTTTAGGCGATTTTTCTCATTTTTCTGCTGGTTCAACCGAAGTTCTGGGTTTCTTAACTAAATCCAAAGTAAAGATAGTCTCCAAATCCCAACACAGAGAATTTAGATTCCCTCATCTTCTTTTACGCCTAGCAATGAACTGAACGGGATGACGGTTTTTTTTGTGTGTGTGTGTGTTAATTTAGTTTAGTTATAAATAACAGAGGTCAGATTAATACATTTTACAAAGAGATTGCAGAGTCCTGGAAAATCCACTTTTGACCATCTAATCTAAATTTAGAATTATCATTGCTAAAAAATCCAATCTAGTGATTTTTGCTTGCCATTTCAATTGATGAAACATTCTTTTCTAGTAAGAAGTTAGATGAAATTGGAATGAGATGCAAAATCTTGGGATACTAAATTTTCAGAAAGGATTGAACTATAGAGGAAGAAATCGCGCTATTATCTGCAGCCTCTTTCCGACTCTATGATGCATGAACAATAAAATCTCATTCAAAATTCTCTATTTTCTTTTTCTTGTGCATGACCAGATGTGGCGTAGAACAGTTGAAGGGGCTTCGAGAGTCTGGATGGAGAAGCATTACAACCAGCACAAACGTCTAATAAATGATGTGTATTAGGTATCATTGCCACGATAAGCAATTCTTTACTTCGACCAAAGTAAAATATATCTCTAAATCAAGTTCTCTCTAGGAAATAGGGTTGAGAAACATTTGTGTAGGGAATGTTTATATGAGAGGAGAACAATTTTAGATTTTGAAATGAAGTTACATTCTTTAGTCAACATGTCTAGTATTGTGGTGGAAAGAGATTCATGTTGATTAGGAAACAACTTATTCATTGTTATGTTTCTATACTCGAGAATTATATTTTCTTTCATGGCACCATTTGAAGTTTCCGGGAAGTCATGGTATCATGTTAATTATAAGGTTACTAAGATTGTTCAAATGAAATATTCTCATCGTGCTTGGTTTTCAGTGCTCAAACGGAAATTAAAATGGCTAAAAATCGCGATATTTAAGCAAAAATTACCTTCACGAAGAGTATTAAGCAAAAATGAAATCAAAAACATCGCTAGACGCAGATTTATAGGCATATCAACCATTTTTTTTTTCATAATTTGTGCTTTCAGACAGTAAATATAATTGGGCAAAATTCATCTCACGTTATTTTTGACTTCTAAAAATGCAATTTAAAGCTGCATTACACAACTCACAAGTGAAATCTCGAATTTTTTTGATTTCCCGAAGAGCTAATTACCGTAGTAGCACGTACATTGCTACATTTTATGAGTACGTATATCACTTATGCCATTGCTACGTTTATCCATTCTCACTCTCACTCTTTTTTTATACCACGTATATCACGTACATTGCTACATTTTATAACCAAATGGGCATAATGGAGTAGATGATGATTCAAAGCATCCTATTTCTCCTCGAGCCATTCAATGAAAAGACCTCCCTAACTGAGTCAGTAGTTAGATATGGACAAAGGGGACATAAAACACACATAACGAGCAATCATTCCAACAAGCCAAGTTATACACTTTTTTTGTTATCACTTGAAATTTCACACAAGTATCTTAAAAGTGCACAGACGATCCTCATTTTTCACCATAAATGCAATTGACTTCTGTTTATTGCAATCGAAACCTCATTCACTTTGAAGAATTATTCCCCTTTATACTATCAATGGCTTGTTTGGATGCATTTGTACAATCTTTCATGCTTCTTCCAAATGTCCCAATTCTCAAGTCAATTTTTTCCCATGATTAAACAAATTTAAAACCCACTGATAATCATCAAATTTTTACTTTATTTCTTTGAGGATTCCATTTTAAGATTCTATTACATTGGATAGTTTATCAAATTCGACATTGCATTAAGATAATAATTTTTTATAAGAAAAATACACTGCAAAACTTATGAACTTTAAAGTCTTCATTTTTTATTTCTCCTAACATGTGTACGAATTCTTAAACTAGACTTGATAAGATTAAAATATGAACATGATAATCAATGCTTAAGATGATCAGTTGTTTTTTCAGGGACTTTTGATTGAAATTGGTTTCTGCATTTTCTTCTCTTTGTTCTCTTTTATTCTGATAAGCTTTTTTTCCGATTTTCTTCTCATAAATTTTACAGTAATACAATTTCTTTTTGTATTAGGTATAAAATAAAAAATTCTTATAGATATTTTGCTCAAGTAACCATTCGGTATCATTTTCGTATTTTATATGAAATCCAGACTTTTTATTTTTGTCTTTTTTGCAGTGTCTTATTATAGGATTCATCGCAGTACATCAGTGTGGATTGGATTGATTGCTCTGTGTAACCTTAAAATCTTAAATTGCATCACGTAAGAAGGGATGTTTTCTTGTTTGGGAAATACAGCATCCACTTGTTTGCGACCTTCGAAACGATATGCCAATATGAACAGGGATGATGATGATGATGATGATGATTTGGGAGGTGATCGAGACTTTCTTCTCTGGTGCAGAGATCTAGAGAGGCATTCTCACGGTGAGTTCTCATTTGCCGCGGTCCGCGGTCCAGGCAAATGAGGCCCCTGAAGATCAGAGCCAGGTTGAGACCAGTCAGCATGCCACCTTTGTTGGCATTTATGATGGCCATGGCGGTCCCGTGGCCTCAAGATTCGTCTGTGATCACTTCTTTCCTCATCTAATGAGTGAGGCTTCTTTCCCATTTTGCTTTTCCTTTTTTGTCACTTTATTCTAGTAGTAATATGAATGCTTATAGCCCTCTACTGTTTCTGACCATGTTTGATTTCAAATAAATAAGGAAAAAACAAATCCATTCAGTTGCCTGCTTAATTCAACAAGGCTAGTTATCTGATTGGTAATTTTTTTCATGGTCTTGTTGTGTGATTTGTCATGCATAGTTGATTGGATGGCAAATTGGTATTATGTGATATTTTTTACTTTTAGTCTACCTCGAATTCAAATATTAGACTATAAGAAATTAGAAGGAGAGCCCTTTCAACATATGCTCCTTTAAGCAAATTTTATGCGCTCTTAGCCTTCCTCCTCTTTAGATACTTCTTTTCATATTTGTGTTTGGGCCTCTGGCCAAGTGTTATTCCATTCTTTGGCAATTTTAAACTGTGTGATGCTTATGACTATTTCGATTTTTTTGTTTATCAGGCATGTTGAAGACTAAAATAAATTAATTTGTTACTTCTCTGACAACTTAACTTTTAGATGAGGTTGTTGAACAAAGTATCGTCAATATCCTATGTTTCAAGTCTCATTTCCATCATTTATGAAGATTGTGCATGCCCTTGGCCTTCAATGAAAAAACAAATCTGGTCTGCTCATAAACGAAATCGAAGGCTAAATATAAATAATTAAATATGTCTTCTATCTAGCATCTTAAGATTTTAGGTGAGATAATTCAACAAGGCCTCTTACAGAGGTAATTGATGTATTGACGTGATGTCATTTGTACTATTACAGGACTTGCAAGAGAAAAGGGAGCAATATCTGAAGACACTCTTAGGAATGCCTTCTCTGCAACAGAAAATGGTTTTCCAAGTCTAGTAAGAAGGGCAACGAGATTAAACCATCACTGGCAACAGTTGGTTTGTGTTGTCTGGTCGGAGTTATCTGGAAGGGGACATTATATGTTGCTAATCTGGGGACTGGGAGATACTAGAGCCGTACTAGGTTATCTTGGCAAATCGAATAAAATTGTTGCCGAGCAGCTGACTTGGGGATCATAATGCCAACATGGAGGAGGTTAGACAAGAACTAAGGTCTTTGCATCCCGATGATTCACGTATTGTAGTTATGAAGCATGGAGTTTGGCGCGTCAAAGGCATTATACAGGTTTACCATCGGCTATCCCTGAAATAGCTTTCAGCATTCTATTTCTCATACAATCCTGTCTCTCCATTTCCTTCACCTGTTTAAGGCTTCACACTCTAAATTAATTATGAAATCACTGCTTTTCTTTTCTTTTCTTTTCTTTTTTTCCAACTGGAACTTGATTTTTAACCCAGTAACTATTCTTCCTGTACAAACTCTAACTTGTGACACAGACAGACATGCAATCAGACACTGATTTTAAACATAAGGAAAATATGTCTAATTGTTTTTGAATTATCTCAATCCTCGAACTTTTTGTTTAATTGATTCAAATTAAGGTATGCTAAATCACATATATGCATAAAATTGATGTTTATATCTTCAGAGAGATGTCTGCAGTAGTATTGGTTCAATGTATTAATTAAGCATCATAATGAAATTTTGCTTGTGTTTGAATCTAATTTTGAGGAGAAGAGAAATTTTGGAATAGTGATTGATATGAGAATGTGTGGTGGAAAAGTGATGAAATTTTTTTTATTTGTGTGTAATATTATTTTATTTGGAGAATATGTGGTTGAAATGAGAATGAGAATGAGAATGGGAATGAGAAATTAATGGGTGTCATACGGGTTATATTTCTTGCAAAAACGTTATATTGACTAGTGCATATATCTAATGAGTAGAACTACGATAAAAATATGAGAATGAAAATATTGACTAGTCTGTATGTAATTCTTGTGTATTATTTCTGATTTTGTAATTTTTTTTTTTCATCTTATTTTTATTTTAGGTATCAAGATCCATAGGACATGCTTACCTCAAGTGGCCAGAGTTCAGTCTTGACATGTCTTTTCCGCAATTTCACCTTCTCAACATCCTCATCGACCAGTGCTACGAGCTGATCCATCTGCATGCACAAGAGTTTTACAACCAAATGGCAAATTTCTCATTTTTGCATCTGATGGGCTTTGGGAACGCATGACAAATCAGGAGGCTGCTGAGATTGTTAACGGTAACCGTTAGACCATCCAATTTTGAACTCCTGCAAGATGGAAATGCAAAAACTGTCAACTGAAGCCTGCACGATTTCTTGAACTGCTCAGCGATTTTCGATTAATTTCCCTCCAACTGAACAGTGATATCTTTACAAGGTTTTGCAACTCTTATAATGATTTTCTCCCAGTCTCCCTTTGTTTCTTCTACTTTATTTTGATCATACCCTTTTTAAGATTATAATGTCCTTCGATTCTGTACTTATTCTGGCGATTCAAATTTTGTTGCTTTGATCCAGTTCAAATGAACTTGTCGAGATTAATATGCGCTTCCATACATTTCCTTACTAATAAGCCTTTTTCTGAATAAATTGGGATTCGACAGCTTAAACTTCTATATTTACAATCTTCTTCACTACAACCATTAGTAGCTTCCTGCTGGACTTAAACAAACGTGTGTACATGTGCACGCTTGTACACAAGAATCTCAACTAATTTATTGCTGGTGCGCACACACTAAGCCTCCTGTCCTCGAATGATCTACAGTATGGAACAAACCATCTAATGAACAAGCAGAAGTAAGAGGAGCCCTTTATTCAATACTCAAATCATGATATACCATTAAAAAGCATTTCTACAAAGCAATACTAAGGGTTGTTTGGGAAGGGGGGGGGGGGGGGGGGGNCTTGTTTCCGTATTCTTTTTCCAAATCGCAAAAAGGATATCCAGAGAAACGAACAAAAAAATAAATAAATAAATAAGGAGATGTGAATGAGAAGCAGCATTTTCAGCAATCATCTGACGATGAGCCTTCTTTGTAATACGGTTTGTATAGATCTTTCAAATTATCTGTCTTGAGCACGCATTTCTTTTTAGAAGCATTTCCTGTGAACAATCGATGGCCCAGACTCGTCGTACTCTGCCTTTGCTATCCACATCTGCA